GTGCAGGGAAAGATGCAATGCACCCCATGAAAAAGAAGGCCTTCAAGATGGTGCTCTCTATCCTGTGTATCATCGTGTTCAACTACCTGCCACTTGTTGCTCTGTTTCCATTTGAGGACTACTACTCCCCTCATGTGTTTCGCTGCTACGTGCAGCCCACGGGTTTTGCCTTTCTGAACATCAGCAGTACAATCCAGCCCCTTGTCTATTTGTCTCGTCTAGAGAAGGTGCCTTTCCTCTCTGACGCCTGCATTAAAAAGATTACTTCCTGTTTCAACCCAGAGAAGAACCAGAATCCACAGGAGCAAAACCCACCTGCTTAGATTCACAAAATATAAAAATATAACACACATATTAAGATCTATAAAAAATAATTGTCTGCAAGTGTGAGAGTCAAATCCTGAGTGTAAAGTCCTGCTTTGTTTTTGTTTGTTTTTTCCCAGTTTACGTTTTACTTGAATGCATTTTTTTCATAATTAGTGAAAGAAATCTGTATCGAAGATTGAATCAATAATTAATCAACAAGTAGACAATGTTAAAATTATAAGCATTTTAATTTCATGTTTTCATAATGTGATGAATTTCTATGAGGAATATGTGAACTATTTGCTTGTGTTTCGGCGCCACCGTGAGGACAAAATACATCAATAAACTTTATCCTTCCAGTGAATGTGTGGACCAGTGACTGTGGTGAGGTTGTGAGGACATTTAGGCTCAGAATCCCAATCAGCATCATACTGATAGCAAAAGGAGCATGTATCTGTTTCATGTGTGATGTCTTTCTCAAGGTGCATGGTGCAGGACAGGGTGTATACATTTCCCACATACCTCTCCAACATAATAATGAATGAATAGGTCAAACAGTGAATTTTTAAAAAGGGTTAGTGTTTGCCACAGACCAAAAACTCAGCTGCACCACTACAGGGAAAAAAACACTACATATGATTTTATTCAATGTAGTTAAATGCGTTTTATACAGATCTATATTTTCTTTCCTACTGAGTGAACATTCATGCCATGTTCAAATGTATAAAGCAGACTGGTATGTTCAAGAATACCACACAGTTAGGTTAACATAGCATACAACCCAAGTGAAAAAGCCATCTTAGCAATAAAATCTGTCTTCCAACACCCCTAAAAACTTATCAATAAGACCTGTTATTTCTTCCTTTCTTTAAATCAAAGAAAAAAGCTTAAGTGTAAAATTTACAGTTCACCATTTTAAAAGTGTTTGTATAACAATCTTTGTGGGGACCAAAGATCTGAAGACATTTTTGACTCAAAATGTGGTTTGGTTAGGGCAGCTAGGGAGAGTATATTCACTTAGATGTGTCATGGTCCGGCTGGCTCATGATAGTTTCAGGTTTTGCTTATTTTTTGCTCTCTCTCTCCCCGCACTCTCCAGCGGGGAGAGCACGGCACCTGCAGCCAATCCTCCCTTGGATGGAGCGGCAGCGCCCATGGTGGAGCCGGCTCCTCCCGCTCCGGAACCAGGCACCTCAAGTCTTTGCCTACCTGCCCCTGAGCCCTTCACTGGTGAGCTATCAAAATGTGCAGGGTTTTAATGCAAATTTCATTGAATTTTTGTCAACAAAGGAGTTTGTTTGAGGATGATGACGCAAAACTTGCAGTTTTTGTTCAATTGTTGTGCAACTGCACACTGCAGTGGGCTCAGGTGGTTCTCTGAGCCGACCCCGAAATAACCTATCCTGCTTTTCTGTTAAAGTTTAAGAGTGGGTTTGACAAGGGGTCGAGCGCCAAGGCGGCGGCTCATTGCCTGCTGAACTTGAAGCACGGGCAGCAGACCATTGCCAACTACTCCATTGACTTCCAGATCCAGGCCAAAGAAACTCGCTGGGGAGAGAACGTGCAGAGAGGTACCTTGTTAAATAATCTTTGTGATGAATTTAAGGACAATTTGACAAAGCGGGTATTGCCCACCTCTTTGGGTGCATTGTTAACATTAGGTAAGTCCCAATTCCTAGGCCGCATCCTTCGTAGGCCACCGAAGGCCGATTACTTCACAGCCAGGCAACGACGGCTGGCCCAATTTGAAGGCTGCACCAAATGTGGCTAAAAAATGCCCCTGGTTTTGAAGGATGGGTCAATTGCATCCTTCCTGGCCCAGCCTACCCCCGAATTCATAGCACCGCCCAGCCAATTCCAGGTCCTGTCATCCTCACTTTATCCGGAAACCATTCAGAAAACATCAGTTTTATTTGTATTTCAAGCTCCTCAAACACCGTTGGTTTTAGGTCACCCCTGATTGCAACAACATAACCCTCATA